GCTAATAATCATCCTTACTACTCTTCATGGACATGCCTAACCATTCAACCCAATTTTCAATCCTCAACATTGACCAGAATTGAAAGTTGCACAAAGATATATGATAGCAGCACACCGTGTGTCACAGCGCTACCTTTATACCGCTATGCAACAATGCGCTTAAGGCAGCAGTTGCGGGAGTACGAAGTGAGGGTTTGAAATATCTGGGAATTATTAGATTTTATCGGTTCAAATCTAGCAAAATAATTACTAAGATAAAACTTGGGCCAAGTTCTCTTGGTCCAAGTAAGATATTTTTCCAATCTTTAAGTATTTCGAACCATCCTAGCTTCTTAACCTTATATATATAAATTTCACTTATACGGAAGCAATTAGCTACTGTAATTAACTCAACACTTGAAGCATCAACTATCGGAAATGTATAAAAGAGATGCGATTAAACTGTTATATCATTGTACATTTTGCAATTACTCTGATCAGTTACTCACTCTTACTATCAGTTACAGTTATATTTCAGTATGTTTCCTAGTATAGTATTGAGGTCAATCTTTAGTAATCCATGAATTTGTTATATTCGAATCGCATAGCCTGTACAGACAACTTAAGTAAAAGTATAGTGGTATATATTTAGCAGTACAAAAAAAAGAAAGCCGAAAAGACACCTTTACTTATTGGGATCAGTGATCCAAAAATATCGCTGCGGATTAAATCTGAAATTTGAGATAAAAAAGTATGATAATGTCTGAGTTAGCAATAAACTTGCAGCACGATAATTTGCTGATAAATTACTAATGTGGATGTTTATAACTGTTGCTGGTTTACTCAAAACACTGATTATCTTCACCTACTTCATTATATTATGTAAAAGCAAAAAAATGGTAAATTCTCCTTTCTTGTTCAATTTTTCATAAACTTTCTTTTTTTGCGATAAGAAAATTTCGAAAGTTGGAAAATTAGTTTAAGAAAAAAAGACTGAAGTTCACACTTAAATCGCCACAGACATTAGCATACGCTAAACAGAAGAAATCGACGTAAAGTTTGAGTTTCGGTTTTTTTCTTTTTTCTTTTTTTTTTTGAGGGAAGAAAAGAAAACGAAAAGTAGAGAAGAAAAGCTGGAGGATGGATACAAAAAGGTTATTTCTCGTGGTATCACAATGTCAAATGATTACTTTGACCATTAAACAAACGATGAGATTTTGCTAGAATGAGGAATCTTAGCTTCTTAAAACAAAAAAAAAAAAAAAAAAACTAGGGAATATTCGGTGGTGAGTTGGAATTGGGAGAGGACACGGTTACTGAAGTAAGAGAACTACGTCTGACTTAATTAATATTTAGAAGAAAGTCAACCTATGTGATGGATGAAAAATTATCAGTATAATGATATATTTTAGAAGATTCCAACTACACTAAAGTTTCTCGTTATTAACGGTTGACCTTTCACATTCATGAGATGACTGTAAAATAAGCTGTCACATTCATGAATATCGATTTATATCAAACAATTCAGGTTGAAAATGAAAAAGAAAGTGGTTCGAAAAAGAGTGGTTCGGAGAAATTAAAGAAATCGGAAGGTGACAAAAAATACGAAGATGATAGAAAAGCTGGTCCTTCGACTGAAGGCGAAATAAATGAGCCAAACCTAGAAAGTAACCGAGAGGAAAAGAAACCGGAAAAGACGATGAGAAGGAAGAAAAAAATGGAAAGGAAGAGGAGAAAAATGAGAAAAAGGAAAAGGAAAATAGGAAGAAGGAAAAGAAAGAGATGGATGAAGCCTCAGAGGTAATCATAATCATGCTTATCACTTAATATCATATCATAATACTTCAGGGAGGGAGAGATATGTATTTCAAGCAAATATATTCAAAATTTTTCATGTGCTATTATTGTTTTTGATTGTTAAGTTTAAATGTCAAAATTTAAATAATGACCTAACAGATTGGAATTTTAAAGAGAAACTGACTTGTTTAGAAGTGAGTCAACCATAGATTTCTGTTATATTTCTTATAAAAAGTATTCATTTAACTAAAAGTTTCTAGAAAAAAGAGCAAAAAGAGAGTGACAAGAAGTCTGATGAAAAAGAGGGTGAGGAGATTGAGGCCGGTAAAGATAATAAAGATAATGCTGCTGGAAAAGAAAATGAAAATAAAGGAAGTTCGAAAAAAGAAGAGGAGGAGAAGGAGTTAGAACAAAAGAAAGAAGGAGGAGAGGAAGAGGACAAGAACGACGACATTAAGAAAAACAAGAAAGAAGAAGGGAGAAAGAGTAGTGAGAAAGAAGGAGAAGAAAAAGATGGTAAGAAAGAGGATGAGAAGGAAGAGGACGAGAAAAAGGAGGAAAGAGAAAAGAAGGAGGAGCAGAAAAAAGAGGAGGAAAAAAAAATGGAGCAGAAAAAAGAGGAGGAAAAAAAGTGGAGCAGAAGAAAGAGGAGGAAAAGAAGAAAGAGGAAGTAACCTATGATCCGAAAGAACTTAAATTTACACTAGCTGGCGGTTCAGTAAAGTTTACCATTAGAAATAGTACTGCTAAAAGACAGGCCCTTAAGGTACCTTTTATGAGAGTGAACTTTTTTTTTTATATTCATCTTTCTATACTTAAGTTACGAAAATTTCTCCTCATATAGATCATGAGTAATTAGTGGACGATCGGAGAGTTCTGCAACGAATGTACAGATGGATTAAAATGAGTTAATCCGGTTAAAGTTTTGATTCATTTCACGGAAAAAAACACTTGAAACTATGGTGAAAGGAAATAAATAATCTTGATATAGATAAAATGTTCGGATAATTTCCTATATCGAGTGAATCCAGTCTTTTCGTTCATGGAACCAAGTGCAGAACAAACCATTGAAGTGATAAGACAATCTGGAAATCCGAAAATCGACAAACTTGTGCTCATACATACGCCGGTATGTTAAGCACTAAATAATCTATTCAAACAAATAATAAATACGGAATTTGAAGTGAAATTTTCAGAATTTTTATACTGATAATAATGAGTATTTACATATTGAGGAAATATGTTCTGTATCGCTTCATTTCTAATTTATTCTTTCCTGAAACATGAATAAGACAAAAGTTTTTAGCTTTTTTTTTTCGAAAGTCTTAAAAAGCGAGGTAAAATGAGTAATTGTTATGATTTCATATGAAACATTCTGTATATTTCTAATTTTGTAACCAATTTTTTTCTTTCTTTTTTTTACAACAACACTTGTACTTCATAAACACTATTATTACTCTCGTCAATTTTGCTCAATTTCATCCATACTATTTTCTCGAAGAGAAGCAAATTTTGAAGTTAAAATGAATTTCAGGCAAATGCAGGCGAAATGGATGCTCCATCATTGTTCAAGAAACCAATTACTTATGTAAATTTCACAATTCCATTGCTAGTAACGTGAAGAGAACTGTAATTTCTGAGGACATTTCACACTGTTCATGGTGCACTTCTCCCAAAATCACTATGAATTGAATAAAAGTTGATATCTGTAAAATATACAATTTCTTATCACCAATAGTTTCCATTCCTTATCATTATTCTCCTAGCTAGTTCTTCTTCACTTCTCTATCTCATCTAAAAAGATAAAGTATTTCGAGTCTCCTACAACAGCATCTTTGACATGTCATTGTTAGATGATATTATCCAATCTTTCTTATCATTTCTCGTAATTTTGATCAAATAAAAGGAATGATATGAAAGGAAGTTCTTAAGTATTATCCATTAGGAATGTGAAAATGTTAGAACAAACTTTAATTTCTAAAACTCCAAACAAAATTTGAAAAAAAAAAAATTACCCCATTTTCTTCGTTTACGTTAGCTTTCCTTACTAAGTTATATAATCTCGCACAAATAGTTCCCTTAAATTCAAAAGCAACAGAATCCCTGAGAATTTTCAAAATTTCGAAATCTTGTAAAACTTCGATGACGTGACCTCAGCACGTTACATTGACGTATTACTCTGAACCAAATTACTCATGCGATAAATAAAACGGTATCGCTTACATTTTTTTTTTTTGTAATAATTGCACAAATGCACGGAAGACAAAGATTAGTGATAACAGAGAAACAACACTAGGCAGATATACATACAGTAAAGTGTGATCACATATAAAGTGGAGAGAGGAAACAACTATAGTAAAAAAAAAAGAAGGAGAATACGTGTAGTGTGACAATTGTTGAGCACGTGTAATGTGACAATGTTGATTTTGCTACGTGACAATGTTGATTTGTCAGCAATTTCCACGTTGGAAGTGGTCTGTATTTTTTTTTTTTTTTTTGCATAGTATTTCTATGTAATTATATTATCTCATCTTTTATGATGACTTTATCAAGCAATGTGTTGTACATTTATTTCAAAATTATTTCTGTATTTTGTATGTTTATCTGAAATTTTTGACTTAGCAAGATGATGCAAAAAATCGGAAAATCATACTTGACGTTTACTACTACTGGTTAGTGCTAGTATTGACGCATTTGACGTTGTCTGCATATTGTATTTAAAGTTTCACGTGGAAGTTTGGTTTCTGACAATTTACTATCCGATAATACTTAATGTTCCTTATAACATTTCAGGAGCAAATTTTCTACTGATTGGCTATTCACATCTTTATAGGAAGAAATATGGCAGATGAAAGTTCCGTGAATGAAGATGAAATAATTTGCTCGAAGCTTGCTATTAAAGAATAGTATGATTTAAAATATTCTTTTTGTTCCTTCTTTAGCTTGTATTCTTGAAGGAAATTCAGCTCTGTATTATTAACACTATTTGCTATTCAACATTTCTCACTACTGTTCTAAGTTGAAATGTTTGATACTATATCTGAAGTTCAGTTTGAACCAACTTCAGCCAGTCCCGTAAATGTCAATAAATGAATAATAAATTAGAATTAAGGTAGTTTTACAGTTGGATTGAACATTACGAAAGAGAGCTGAAAAATTTCGAAGAATTTGGAGATGAGGGCGAAGTATGGTTTGGACGTAGTGCTGAAAGTCGTTTGGTGAATTATGTTAACGGAAATGAACAATTATCCAAATCATGCAGATTGATAGATTTTGGTTGTGGAAATGGTTCATTGCTGAGAGCGCTGGTATGTGTAGTGTTGTCGCAGTTACAACTAGGGTACGTGATAGTATTGAATTTTAGAGGAATTAGGTAGTTCTATGCAAGAGATTCGACGAAAAATAGCGAAATTGGGGGATACATTACCGAACAAAACTTTTTTAAATTATCATTATTTTGATCATGTCAGTTATTCATAATACTTCTTCAGATTTGTTAGATAAGTAGATTAGCCTGTTCTATGAATTGGATGTGATTTAAAGAAAGAGAGAGGAAAAAAAAAACAGGGTTTCGACTTTTAATTTTTGCAACCACAACGAAAACGAGCTTCTTCGGTTAATCATTTTTTTTTTTCGAGAAATTGCGCTACTTTGCTAAATATCAAGAAAATATGTAAAACCCATACTGTGGATTAAATTAAGTAGTGAAGATCAGAATTTCAGCTGTTTAATCCAATTCATAGCATATATGCAACTGACGCCATTAATGATTCGATCCGTATTTATTCGGTTTCTGATCATTTACATCTTCCTGTATCTCTTTTACTCTAGACTTCTTATTAACGTCTTTCTCTTCTAAAGCATATCCTTCACTCTCCCCATTTCCACATACCCTAAATCAAAATTTTTTTACTTTCCAATTTTACAATAATTTTAATACAGTTGTTAATAGAGATGAACGTTGTGTAGTTGTCCGTAATTTCCTTTACTTCAGCGACAAGAAGGCTATTCTCATTTATGTGGTGTTGATTATTCCGAAGAAGCAATACTGCTAGCCAAAAAATTCACAGAGAGCATAGAAAGCAGTATCCAAATTGATTTTCGGGTAATTCTTTATCTATAAGATAATGAATGAAACGTTCTTAATTCTAGAGCTTATATGGATAGCCGTTTTTAGGTAGCCGATCTACTCAGTGAAAGCATTAATTTGGGGAAATTCGACGCTGTTCTTGATAAAGGCACTTGGGATTCTCTATCACTATCAGTTGATCGTGACCGCTGTTTGAGGAAGTACAAGGCAAGCGTATGTAAAACTCTGAGACCTTGCGGACTTTTCATCATTTGTTCATGTAACTACTCGAGGTACTGTATTGTGGTGGATAACATTTCGTTAATTTTCATGAACCTTTTTGACGAATCTTTGTGCAGCCTTATATGGTTTTACCAGCTTTAGCAGATTCATAAAATTCATATAGAGTCTCTCGTAAAGAACAATTCGGATCCTTTAACCATGCAGTGTAACAGTTTAAAATTAATATCAATTTATACGATCTGATTCTTTTAGAGAGTGAAGTATTTTTCCATTGTAAAGTAATTTCATTACAGGAATGAACTGGAAAAGCAATTTAGCGATGAAGAATTGAAATTTCTCGAAGAGATCCCACCTAAAAATATTTTTGAATTCGGTGGTCGAAAGGGTTCAACGACAACATGTATGGTATTTCAAAGGCTTTAGGTTCAACAAAAAATACCAGTACTAATTCTGTAGTTCCCTTTTATGGCACTTCTTGTTTGAATTGTACTCCAGGGCGGAGAAATAACATGGGTGAATAGAGATCAAAGCCAATCTAGGTCTCTTGCTCACAGAGTTTTTACTTTGATGTAAAAGATGGCGTTTTAATTTCTGCACCATAAAAAATTTGATGTCGCGAGAAAATGAATGCGCCTACCTTCTTGAATTTTACATTTAAATGTTTTGATGTTACATTTAAATGCTTTAATGGAATCTATTGCATCATGATCAATAAACAAAAAAAAAGATGAAAACAAAAAGACGGATTTCCAGTAAACGCTGAAATAATAATAAGTGGTAAAAGACCACTTAGGCAAAACATGAAATGCTAGAAAAGTTCCACAGAAATGTTCAGTAAAAATCAGGAGTTGGAACTTTTAAAAAATTTGAGTTTTTTGTGAAAGTGAGGAGTAAGACTCGATGGGAATTGGTAAAAGAAATGTCTAGAAAAGAAGGTAATTCGCATGTACAGTCAATATTGACCATCCTTTGGTAGAGTACAATAATGATATACCGTACTTCTTCAGTTTTCAGTAAACTCGAAGGACATTTCACCCGGAAATTTCTCCTTGTACCTGCAGAGACGAACAGAAGTTTAGCAGAATAAATTTACAAAAAGATCAGTCATTTATTCACATGCAGCGGAAATGGCTGCTTGTTTTGAACGAAGCAGGTTAGATTAAAACGCGAAAGGATGAAAGAGTTCGGTAATTATCAAAAACAACACATTTGATCAATCTTCCGAAAAACACATTCTGATTAAATGCAAACATACTGCTGGTACCAAAAATCTTTCATAACAAAATGGGGAAATGGAAAATTACAAAATAATAAGCAACATAAACTAAAATATGAAACAAACTAAATTTAAAACAGCATAGATGTAACGGTAATATCGTAAGATGCAGAAGCGTGAAACACCTGCAGTACGGACTGCATTCTGATAATCAACTGCATTTGAGGTCATACCAAAAGCTCGAGAATTCTTCCGTTATTTTCATGCTATCCAGCCTTACTTGTATCTAGGAAAATATGAAATGGAGTAACTTGAAAAAAAAATCTTTTAAACAATGAAATTAGATATGCTTTTTGAAAAGACTTTGTATGATAAAGAAAAACATTAAACTACGGAAGCTTTAAAATTTTCAAACCATTCCAAGAACAGGAGCTTTGCTAAAGGGTCCATAGTTGATGGCATCCTTCACAGTGAAGATAAGCATGTGATTCTCGATATCGCTAAAGTGCAGGTCAAATTCAAACCTAAAGAATTTAATATCAAAAAACAGTGTCAGGGAATACAATGGCATAAAATTTGACTCAGTTGATTCGCTATAAGTTCAACCATGGACTTTGAAGGGTAAATATCCCAGTTAGCACCTGAAATTGAACATTTCCATCCCAAAAGACTATCTCTGTGCAACAGGCTACTGAGGATTATGAAAAAAAACTTATGCTTCGGAAAGAATATTTGATCAAATTTACCGCAGATTTCTGGAAGAGAATGGTTTAAGAAAAACAACAATGATAGAAACTGACTGGATGTCGAAAAGCGGGTCAAGAGATTTCTTGACAATTGGTGTTTTTCGTTTCTCACCACCACGCATATTATCCAAAGGTGTTAGACGTACAGTTAGGTATGGATCTGCAGAGCCCTGACTATCAAGTGGACATAGTTCTCTATAACATTGATCATTTACACACGTATAAATGAAAGCTAAAAATGATTAACAACCCCAATTAAGATGGTGGATAGTGTTGAAGCACGATGATATAGACATATTTTTCTCATTTTAATTGAAATTCCCATCAAACTCTGGTCAGTAATCAGTAACAATATAATTGAAAAATGACACTTAGAAATGAACTCATAATGCATCGGCTTGTAATAATAGAGATCGAGATAACAAACTTCAAGGATGACCTTTTCGTGAGATTTCTGCCCATGAGATTTGTTTAAATTAATTGATAAAAAAATCCACGGTAGTTGAAAATAGTTTACAACTGTTTGAAAGTGAATAAATAATACGTACATTATACGTATAACCCGAACTATTAGCCTGTTTGATTCTTTCAGATGCTGAAGACCAAACTGCAAACGACCACTTTGACCAGTACTAAAAATATGTAGAGGTTAAGGACAGAAGTTATAGTTTCTCTCACCAATGATGTATAAACCTCGAGTTGCCAATCCCGAAGAATAATGTTTACTATTCGCTGAGAAACTCAAAGCTAATATAAGTAATCTTTATTCCCTAATATTGCTGAAATATGTCTCAAAAAACATACGGCTTTCCTTTGCCTTGTGTATGTTTCGTTAGGAACAGTTTTTCACCAAAAGTACGACGACGTCTATATGCACTTGTGGCTGATTCACTGCTGTTCCTTCGCGTTTTTATCTGTTCGATGACCGATAATTTCGAATCTTTACTGCCAGTACCTGTCTCATTCGGTTTTCGAGGATTCACTTCATATTCTGAGGAATGTCGATTTCGCACACTTTTATCAGCCGTTACTAATTTTTCAGCTCTCTCAATGAACACTTCTAAAAAAAAGATATTCGAAATATAGTACCGCATTCATTAGATAAACAGTGTGGCAAGCTCAGTCTTAATTACAAGGAAAAGAACTAATTCCAATTACAATGTCGATTATTCAGTCTACCCGCAAGAACGTATTTACTATAACCTTTACTATCTATGAACTGAATTTTCCAACTCTTATTGCGAATGCACTTAATATTAAACGTGTGTAACAAAGATAACTTTTTCTTGACAATTTAAATAAAATCTTACCATTGCCATAAATTGCTTCGCTATAACCATCAGAAGCCAAATTGCCTTTTTGTTGAACGGTAACTAAAGCCTACAAAAACAATGAACTGAAAGCAATAACCCAAATACAATAGAATAACCTTAATCAGGATCATATATATATATATATATATATATATATATATATATATATATATATATATATATATATATATATATATATATA